GTAGTGGCCTAGTGGGGGGTAAAGAAGCACCTTTTTTTATAGGAACTTTGTGAGAAAAATGGAATTATCCCTATCATGAACTCTCTACACGGTTTACTCTACTCCCCAACAAAATGGCATTGCTTGGTGAAGAATAATAGAGCTCTTAAGGAGATGATAAATGTAATAATGTTAATCAGTTTTGGCTTGTCTATTACTCCGTCCGTCCCTTAACTACGTGCCTATTTATAAGATTTATTACTCACATAATAAAGAAAAATAGACACATAGTTAAGGGACGGAGGGACTAGTATGTAGGGGTGAATGTATTTATGTGTTGAACAAAGTGCCCACAAAAAGCTACTCGTACTTGATACTCCCTCAATCCCTATATTTTTGTCCCATTTGACTGTCCACGGTCTCTAAGACGTGTATTAAAACATTCATATCTTATTTTCATACACGTAAAAATCATAAAAACGTAATATTAATAAAATATACAATGTTCCAAATCTAACAAAATCACTCATGACTAAATTATCTTTTATATTCACGATAATTTATGGTAAAAGTTTTCAAAGTTTGACCCCAAACATAGTAATGGGACAAAAATAAAGAGACGAAGGGAGTAGTTGATATAACCCCCTATGAACTAATGAATTATATATGGAAAGGCTATGCTCCTAACCTTAACTACTTGAAAGTATGAAATTAAAGTATCTTGCTAAAGTTGGTTTACCATATTTCAAACGAGAAAATATTGAACTTAAAACTTTTGATGAAATATTTGTTGGTTATGCTTGAATGATAGATTAATGTATAAAAATCTAGAGATGCTGAATTTTTTTAGTATGTTTTCTCTTTAAAGAAAAATTATGTTTCTCATGATATGCCTTTTGCTTCTTCCACTTCATCTACTATATATGCCTGTGCCTTCTCATGTCAAACTATTGAAAACCATCGATTGGCACTAACATACTAATTTATCAGACATTCTTTTGAACAACTTTTTTTTTTAGAGGGAATTCTTTAGAATTGAACAACCTAAAACTTGGAAAGAAGAAAGAAATTTAAAATTAAGGGTCTGTTCTCATACGTTGAAATTCAATTCAATTCAGTTCAGCTCAGTTCAGTTCAATTCAGCTCCTAATTTCCTTCTCTTATAAAATATTCATTTCAGTTCAGTTCAGTTCAGTTCAGCTGAGTTCAGTCAATGAAAACAAGCCCTAAATCATTTATTGTAAATTTGTAATCTTGATTCTTGAAGGGACTTCCTCATTGCGAAGTTGTTTCAGTTGGCGAAGTTGTTTCAGTTGGGAAAATGACCTAAAATACAACAAAATACAACGTAACCATTCCATTAAGCTAACACTTACCATAAAATAATCCAATTTATATCTATTACTAAAGTAAAAACCACTATTAAATATTTTTTTTTCCTTTCTAAATTCCTTCAATTTCTATATATTTTTTTTATTTATCTCTTCTAATTTAAATTTCTTTCTAATTTTTTATTATGTATTCCTTCAATAGTATATATGACCGTGAAAAAATAAAAAGAACTTTTAGTAACAAATGAGCCGACAATAAATATAAATTAAGTATTAGCACAATCTCCATAGAAATTACTTCCATCATTTTTAAATACTTGCTTCATTTCTCCATTTGCGGAGTTTTAGAAGAAATTGGAGAAAGCAATAAAATATGGAGGTAGTGGGTTTGTGGAGGAATAAAAAATTGTAAAAAGCAAAAATAGTTGAGAAAATTGAAGAAGACAGGATATGAAATTGATAAAATATGATTTATGTTGGGTTTATTAGTTGAGAAAAATAAATTAAATATTATAAAAACTTTTCAAATAACTAATTGGAGCAAGAATTTAAAAACGGACTAAAATGAAAAGTGGAGCAAATATTTAAAAACGGGACTAGCTAGTTGATAAATTTAGTATGATGGGCCTAGCTTAAACTAAAAGGAACCAAATGTAGGGTTCCCATTGATAGTTTCTTAGAGAAGAGGGTTTAATTTTTGAGAAAAAACATAAGATCAACTAATAATACACTTTATTAATTTAAGTTTATGGAATAATGATGATTTATGATTTTTGATTAAATTGCACTTTTTCCCCTTTTTATTTTAAGAAGGGACTAAAAAAGGACGGGAGGATGGGTACCAATACCAAACGGCACGTGATTAGGCTAAGAATACTGTCAGTTAAGGTCACCCACATGTGAGGGAGTGTCTTAGATACCGTCAAAAAGCCAAATCTAACGGTGGTCAATGCCACGTGGCAGGAATCGGTGGGTCCTTTTTTTCCTTTTTCTTTTCTGTTTTCTTTCACCGTCTGATCTGGAAGGGTTTGATCGATATAACGTGAGCCCACGTGCCAAGCTGTCACGTGATGTGTGTTTTTCTTCTTCTTCTTCTTCTTTTTTTTTTTTTTTTCATTTTATTTTATTGGTATGTTCATGTACTCGTACTTGCGTATCTTGTGACCCGCATGTCGGTGGAAGTCGTAGATGTTATTCCGATTCTCTTCTTGTCTCCCTTTAATTTCTTTTGACCTTCATACGTTTTGTGCACTTCTTATACTATATCTATATGTGTCCCTCCTTTTGGAAAAGCTTATATTACTATATTATACTTGTATCAATTACTACGTATTAAACATGATATACTAGCTCGTTAAATTAAATTATACTGGTATTAAGAAATATTTGGCTAAATTGATAAAAGTTTTACCTCGAATTTGATATTTGAGATTTGAAACCTATCAATCTAAGTGAAAATTGCTTGGGTTTAGATATTGCTTACCTTAATTGCCTTCTTCCCTACTCCAAAATACCTAACTTGCTGATAATAAAAGGACTAATGAAATCGAAAGAGTTAAGAGCCCTGATAAAAAGATAATAATAAGGTTCTTCAAAAATGATCAAATCATACTATGTATGCACAATTTACCAAAGATAGACCTACTATGTACGTAAAACTTACCTCATTACTTCAAAGCTCATGAGTCATGACATATAGATGTTGCACCAAAATTTTAATGGTGTTTATGAACAAAAGTTTAGATATTGGTAAAAAATTAAGGATTAAGGGTCTGTTCATATTTACTGAACTGAACTGAGTTGGACTGAACTGAAATGATTGGAGCTGAACTGAACTGATTAGAGGTGAACTGAACTGAATTGAGCTAAAATGAATATATGAGGGAAGGAAATTAAGATCTGAATTGAACTGATTGGAGCTGAATTGAACTGATTGGAGCTTAAGTGAACTGACCTGAACTGAATCGATTGGAGCTGAAATGAATTGAGTTGACTGGAGCTGAACTAAACTAAACTGAAATGAAATGATTGGAGCTGAACTAAACTAGACTGAACTGATTAGAGCTTATCTGAACAAAACTGAACTGAAATTAAGATGAAGTGAACAGGCCCTAAGCTACCTGGGTTAATTTGCACCCAAATGTAAATAAATATAGAAAATATATTAATAATTTCATAAAAAATTAGTTAAGTGAAAATCATGCAAATATAAATTAAGCAATTTATTTTCTATAAGTAATGGTTTGGATTAGTTTGTATTGGAGTCCAACTTTGTTGAATCATATAACTATGTACTTGGATTTAAAATAATTTAACACTTGTTAATGCATATATAGTTCTGAACACACTAGATAGTAAGATTAATACCAGCAATATTTTATTTAATAATTATGACAGTATTCACACTATATATATAGTAAGATTAATACCAGCAATAATAATAATAATAATAATAATAATAATAATAATATATTTGAAACTGATGATGAAATTATCAATATGAAGTATTATTTTAGTCATTAATTAGATTTAAAATCAACAGTTGGAGAGAACAAGTAAATGTGAGTTGGCCTAGCCTCACCAAAAACTTGTCCAAGTAGATGTAATTATGTAAAAGGTCTCAAGTCAGTTGGATTTTATTAATTAATACTTGTATATGTTAGGTATTATTTCCTACTTATTATTACTCGTATTATTACTCCTCAACCACGTCCTTCAAGAGATTGTTATATATATCCGGGTTTATACTCATTTTGATGATTGTTTTTCATTTAATCGTCAAATGAAAAGCAAAAACTAACCTTGGATTAATTAGGTGTATTGCACCCGGGTGTGTATAACAAATTCTATGATTAAAGGTGCTACTTTCAAGCTTAGCTTGTGCTCAATTCACTACTTTAATGCTCGAAATTGAGTTTCGAGCAATCACTTTAAACAAAATACAGGACTAATTATAATCACTTTAATCAAATTAAATATAAGTTCAAAAAATCATTAGAGGCATCATATAGTTGCTATCCAATCCAATATCTAGTAAATAGTGGTCAGTATATAGGTGTGGACGTGTGATAACCAATGAAGTAGATATACTAGTATAATTATCAACTCATCATGGTTTCTTTTTGGCCACTATTCAAGACTTGACTCACTTGATAAGAGATTTAATTTAGTGGTTTAAAGATTTTAAAGGTTTAGGATTTAATTTTCACCGAGTAAAAGTAGTTGGTGGTGGGAACCCTTCACCTTACCTAGATGTGATAAAAAAATCGGGCCAAGCCGGGCCTTAACACAATTTCTCGTGTTCAAACCCGTAAAAAAATATCGGACTTGTCGGGTCAAAGCAACTTTTCGGGTCAGGTTCGGGAATTTTAATTAAAAATGCGCTTTTATACTTGTCCTAACCCGGCCTGTTTTCGGACCAAATTAGCGGATTGAGCCAATGTTGATCACCTCACCCCACTTCCATACATTTAAGTATTTAACACGTAAAACAAGCTAAAAAATCGTTAAAATTGAGGTATGATCAAGGTCCTTAAATTTTCGTTGATCATAGTAATTAAGATCAACAAAATTTTCTATTTCCCAAAGACCAACCCATCGACCCAATGGGCTTGAAACTTTGAAAGCAATCAGTCCAATTTTTCTCAAACTTTTGGTTTTCTTGGTTTCTCTTGAAAAAAGCCCAATTCTAAAAACTCAACACTCCTTCTTCTTCCTCCAACTTTACAGTTTTCAGTGAAAAGTTGAAAACTATGAACTGAAGGAAGAAAATTCAGCATCTGAAAACAAAAAATTGTAGATTTTTGCAGGATAATTTGATTGATAGATCGATTACAATAAATAGAAAACAATGATAAGAAATCCATTTCAATGGCTGAATACAGTAGTTACAGAACCACATTATTTCTTCCATTTTCTGGTTTTCTTCTCTTACCTTCCAATTCGTATTTCTGCTTCTTCCATTTTTCTTCATGATGTTTCTCTCCTTCTTCTTCGCCGGGTAATCAATCTTTTTCTCTCTCCTCCTTTATTTATTTATTTATTTATTATTATTACTATTATTATTATTTTATATTTACTGAATTTTTTTTGTTGATTTTTGCAGGAGATTCAAGCAATTCTCGCATTTACAATCTTTTCTGTTGTCAGGGTATTTCTTGTTAAATTTATTTATATTTAATTTCAATTTTTTTTAGCTGTGATATTGATTATAAAATGGGTGATTGATTTTGAATTTTTGATCTTTTGTTGAAATTTACCCAGATGGTAAGGGAAGAAACATGGGAGGGAGTTATTGCTGATACATTGCTATTTGGGAAGGTGATACCTTGATTCAATTTTTGCTGAAATTCATTATTTTTATTATATGTTATTATGTTGAATGTAGATTGTATGAGACAATGAGTATGATTAAAGTGATGGTATTAGGAACTAGATTAACTTGAGTAATAAAGTAAAACCCTTCATAGATTAGTTACTCGAAATCGTGTGTGCTTAGAGCCCCAATTGTCTTAGTGCACCTTGCAGGTAGGCTATAGGAGCCCTATCGCTTTAGTGTGCCTTGCGCCTTTGTTCTTACACAAGGCAAATACCCATTTTGTCGTTTCTATAGAAGATTAAGGAACTATGGGAGAGTTGGAGGTAGGCCAGGTAGCTAAAATTATAGCAATCGACTCTCTAAGATAGTCATATAGCCATATCCGGCTTTAAAGATAAAAGGCAATGGATTATAGAACCGCCAGATGGTTTCATGTAGTTATCTAGTTATCCCTTGAGAAAACCTGGTTAACTTCTGCCCTTGTTTTCATGGCTCCTTGAAGATACAATGGCCGATCGAAATTCTTGAATGGGGATCAGATGCTATAATGATCAATTTTATCACTTAACTACAGCAACAAAACATGTTTAGCTACCATCTTTTACTTCTTGCTTATGGTTATGCTGTATATTGTAGAATTTGGTTGATGTCAATATATCAATAGGATTTTCACTGTAAAATATGATAAAGTTATTTGAATGTGTGATGCAGATGCCAAATAACTAACAAACTAAACCTTGTGAGGTTGGTAAACATTAGGGTTGTGTGACTGACATGTCATAAACAATGGTAGCAACAACATCAAACCTTGTATGAATCTCACTATATGCATGTAATGCACCTAAGTTGCTGAGAAACAGTAAAGTTTGATGCAAATTAGGTAATTGGGGAAACACTTTTTTTTTTTCCTTACAGGTAGGAGCCGTAGAAATGTGGAATAAAGACAATGATTCAATAATTTCATTTAGAAATCTGAAATTTTAACATCAACAAAAAGTGCAAATAAAGAAGGCATTAAAGGTAGTTTGGTTTTAAAAAGAGACTTTTAAAGAAAAGGTCTTATTATGCATCTAAAAATTCTAGAGGGGTAAATGCAGGTCACATAATAGGTTTCCCATTGAATTTCCTTGAGTTTTGAGCTTCCAAGTTTTGGAAAGGGGAACTTTGGCCTTACTGGGAGATTTAGATGTATACAACCTTATACCTAAACAACATTATCACATAAGTGTTATTACAAAATGACCTTGTTATCAAAAAAATTATATTCTGTTAGTATTATAAATGACGGATAGTTGTTTCATTGACTCTCTATTCTCATGGTTAACTTTATTTTATAGATTTTGTGTTTCACTGGGGGTTAAGTTTTCAGAAAAAATGTTTATTATGTTTTTTTAGCGTGAATTTCACCTTCTGTTATATTAGTGATGGATGATTGCTTAGTTTATTATGATAATATTTGAATTGAACCTATCAATGAACTTCTGTCATTATGTCCTTCAACATGAATATCACATTCTGTGTTTTATCTGCAACGGATGATTGTTCAGCTTATTGTGATAATACTTGAATTAATCAAGGAGCTTCTATTGTTATTGCAATTCATATAATGTAATATGATGGACTTGAAACTAAGAGAAATCTTAGAGTGTTACTGACAGGGATGCCCATAACAAAAAAAAATTTCCCGCCAATTTTATTGTAATAAAAGCAGAGTACTCCATAGTTATGGTAGAGATGTTGCTGATTGAATTATTTAAATCTTTGCTTGTTCTAATTCCAGTTTTTGTTCTGACTCCAGGCATTTCTTCTTCTGCTTGCTCTATATGTGGATTACCATTTGGCTTTATGGTACATGGTGGCATTTTTAGGTAGGTCTTGTAATCTTTGGCTTTTAGTAGCATGTCTGCATGTGGGCTGATACATTGACATAAAAAAAAAACGAGAGCAACTTCGGATAAAGACACACTTTATAAGGTCACAAACATATGAGTAATGAGTGTGTGTGTTTTATTGGAACAAATTCCTTTGCAAACCTATAGTCTTATACCCACAAATACTTAAGTTTTGAGCGCTTTCTCTAAATAATGCTACAAAGAGTTGCAATTCCAAGTTTACAGCTATTTTTTTAGAAATTCCCAATCTACTGTCCACGTCAGCAAGTGGAGAAAAAAAACTTTTTTTATCGGTTCATTGTGAAATCGTTACTTGAACTCTTAAAGTAGGGGTTTTTAACTGTAAACCGTTACTTCATGTAGTGGTTTTTTAATAAGAAAACTGCTACTTGAGGGCTTGTTTGAATTTTTTTTTATTTTGTTTTCTCTTTTTTGAAAACAAAAAATCAAAAATAAGAAACAAGAAAAAAGTGTTTTTACTTTTCTGTTATCAGTTTTCATAATAATCGTGATTTTAATAATTTTGAGAAATTTTTGATTCATTATATGACATACCTCATATGATTTGAAAAACAAAAAACCAAAAACAAAATATCAAAGTGATACCAAATGAACTCGAAGTAGCGGTTTCTACTTTTTTTTTTTTAATCTTCAGCTAGCTACAAGATGTTCTTATCCAGTCATCCAAAATTACACAGAATTTCACTTCCATCCCACCTCAAAAATTTATCTAAATTTAAATAATCTAAACTCAAAATTAAGGCAATAAAAAAAAAAAAACAACAAACAAATTATTAAAAAAAAATAAAAAAAAAAATCACATAATGGTAATGTTTCAAGATTGATAGTACTCAGAGAAAGAACAAAATCAAGTAAATTTGGTTAGGTCTAGATTAAATAATTACAAAAAAATTACATTTGGGCATATATTACATTAACCTTGCTGCGACAATCTATGACCAAGAAGGCTGTAGAGAAGGTGGAAAAGGTGGAGGCGAAATCAACCTTGAATAAAACATAAAGATTGATAAAGAGATTTGCAAGATAAAACCATGAAAGCATCCAAAATCTGAAATTAAAAAAAAAAAAAAAAAAAAAAAACAAAAAAAAAAAAACTATTTCTCAAACTTAATTTATCTATGCCCAATTTGAATCCACCCAAAACTTTGAGGATGAAGGACATTGGAGAATGAAATTAGAAGAGAGAATGAGAGAAGAATGTGTAAGATCTGAATATTGGATAAGTATGATGGCAAATTGGCATTAAATCGCTGATATGGACGGTATATTGGGAATTTTAAAAAAAGTAGTTGCATACTTGGAATTGCAACTCTTCATAGCATTATTTAGGGAAAGCGCTCTCAAGTTTTGGTTTGTTTTTAATTTATTTATTTGGAGGTTATCATATTTTTTTTGTATGTTTTCTTTTTAACCAGCTCTTATTCATTCATGTATCATGTAAAAACATCACAAGTGTCTAGCCCCTTACTCCCCAAGTGACATAAATGACTTTGAAGCCATTTTTGCACCAGTCAAGCTAATGAGTGGAGTGTTTTTATTTTTTGGTGACTTGCTTTAGTTTTGGAATCACTATGTTATACAGTTTATGTGCTGAAGTTGGTTGTCACCTGTGACTGACTCAATTTTGGTATTTTCTTCTTGCAGTGCTATATATACTCTCTCAGCAACCTGCATTTCCTGAACTGGGTAAGCCCGTAAATGTACCCATACATCTCTCTCCCCCACCCCAGCTTCTCTTTTTAAAATGAGATATCCATCAAAAGTACCTGAGCTCTGCCATTGATCTTTGCATGGTTTTCCATAGGTGTGGCAAAGACTATGACGCCATTGCAATTGGAAAGTACATTGATTGAAGGGGTTTCATCAAGATATTGGCTGGTGGGTGAACTCTTCATTAGATCTTTTCATGTTTCACTTCTCATATTGAAGTAGAAGACTGTACTTTCTGTTTAATGATGTTACGATAGCATTTGTAAACTGCAACCTGTTATCTTTTATCCTTCTCTCTCTCTCCCATGCTCCTTTCTTAGGATTTGTGGATTGTTGCTGTAAGTTCAGTTTTTAGGAACAGGAAATATTGACCATTTTGAATCAGAATGAAATTCATTTGCTGGCTTACTAGGTCTGAAAAATATCAATATCCCACTAAGTTAAAGGATTAAGTCTATTATGGGGACACAATGCAACATAATTTGAGGAAGTCTCAAGGTATGGGACTTAAGTCCCACATTGATTATTTGGAGGGTCTGGTGTGGAGCTTAAATAGGTCTATTGGCTCTTCTCCCTTTTAGTTAGTTTTTGGGGATGGTTCTCTTGTATTAACATGAGGTACCTTCAATTATCTTGATTACCTTTGGATTCTAATCCTACCTAGTATTAGCTTGGCTAATTTAAGGACAATGACTATATGATCCCTTGGACTTGGTGCTTTGTTTATGAACAATCTGCTTCATCACATTTCTATGAGGATGTTATGGACTGATTTTCTGATTATTTATTTGTAAATAATTGAATAATAATATTGAAGGAAGGTTAGAAGCTTGATTGAATTTGAGTCAAAGGATACAAAGATAAGTAATAGCTTGAGGCTATAAGTCCTCGACCAATAGTAACTTGAGGTTACCAAGCTCTAACAATTCTAATTCATAAAAAGCATGCCTTCCCCGTTTCTCCCCCCTTCCTATATTATACAGATTACTACTAAGAGAGTTGACCATAAAAGTGAATCTCCTTTTAATTGCTATTTGTCCTTTACTACTAAAAGCTCAAACATTTAACTTGAGATTGTCTTTGTTACTACAATTAGAAGCTTCACATGTTCACTTGGTCAGCTCCTTGGTTGCTGTAGCTTAGTTGCTTTTTTTGTTCCTTCTTGTGTAAGTTTGGATTGCTGGTGTGAGTGGGCTTGGGCGACTTGAGTCTATTGCACAGAACCTGCATTTTTTACGCAGTCGTATAAGTATATACCAATTACCAAATTTGTAGTAACATACAACAATTCCTTAATTTGGATTTTAGTATTGGTGCACTCATTAACTGAATATCCTTGTAATCATTTGAGCCAATCATCATGTTATATAAATACTGAATTTCATGTCAGTTTGGTGACTTAAAAGTTCTGTATTCATGCATACTTGTTCATGTTTAGTCTCATTTTTCTCATCTCTTTATGGCCTGTTTGGTAGGGGGGGGGGGGTAAAAAAAAGATGGCAATAGTAGTGAATTTATATGTAATCTTGTAAGGGAAGTCCCATGTCAAATTGTCAATGTACTTGTTAATGCTTGTCTAGGTTTAACATCTCTTTTCTTTGTGAATTTTCAATACCATCTCTAAATTGATAATTGGATGATAATGGAAAATTGAAATAATAAAAAAAAAAAAAAACACATGTTTGGAGGTGGAGTTGAATTACAAAGGAATTTATCAAGGGACTTTTAAATATAAACTCATTACCATTACTGTCATTCCTTTTCACCTATCGAACATGTCGTTGAGGCTTTTAATGGTTGAGGACTCATTACTGTCACTCAAATCATTAGTTTATTATGTCCTACCAAATGGCTTGTCAAGTTGATGACTCTTTGAATTCCACTGTTTCAGGTTGAATTTCGTACTTTAAGTTCATCAACGTGTGTACGGAATAGTCGGAATTTTCCTGAACTCTCTGTTACGTAAGTGTGTGTGTGTGTTTTTTTTTTTTTTATTATTTTTTTTTAATAAATAAATTATCTTTAAACTTGATGCTAATCATTCTGTCCTAGAGATGTCAGATTCTGATGAAATAATCTTATTTCTTATCTCTCTGTTCTACTGAGTACTGACAATCATTCTTTAATTTTGAATATTCAATGCAGATATGTAAATGATAATTTGTCCTTTGGTGTAGTTGATCTTGGGCTTTTCCCTAACGTTGCTGACAAATTTGGAATTTCCCTAAAAGGTAAATTTTTGCCACGGATAGGATTATTTGCGTGTCTTTTTCTGTAGATTTCATTGCTTATGGTTGGTATTAGTCAGTAATTGGAATTAATGATACTAGGAATGCTATTTTTAAAACATGTATCTACAGGAAATGTGGGACTTCCAGCATACATATTATTTGAGAACGCTACCGAGGTAACTCGCTACCCAAAAGTGGATTTCGATGCAAAAGTTTTTCATCCTTCTGTAACCAAGGTACACACACTATATGCCTGATAACTGCATTTACTGCTTTAATTTAGTATGTTAATTGATGGTTGAAGATGTGTTAAATTAATAATGAGGAAGACCTTTTTTACTTGTTAATACATGCTAGTACTGATTCCCAAACTTTCCCCCTCTTCAGTTTTCTGTACATGATTGAATGTATGATTTTGACATTCCTTGTGTCTGCATATTCTGGCTTATTGGATCTGCTCTCTTTATGCCTAGTTGATCTGGTACTTTGCCCGTGGATTATCATCAATTCATCACCTCATTCATAATTTTAGGATGACATATTAAGGACTTCTTGTGGCATATGTATGAGCTTTATCAAGTTTAAACTCTAAAGAATTGGTCTAAATATAACATCCCATATCCCTATGTCTATCTGTCAATGTTATTTCAATCTGAAGGCGAATACAGCCGCATCAACGAGTGATCTTTACTCTTCTAGTTTGGGTTGGTTTGCACAGACTTCTCTCTTCATAAGGGCATAAGGCATGCAAACAAAAGATAATGACTAGGATGAGGAAATTTTCTACTGTTCAATCTAGTGTATCAGATTCAATTCAATGCTATAGTCGAAATGACTGTTGGGGCATATATTATGTTGAGGACCCATCCCAATTAGTTTTTCCAATTTGGCTTCATCACACATACTAAGAAATGTAGTAGGAAATGGTTGAATGTTAGATGTGACCAAAATTTCTGAAAGTGGATGAAGCTAATGAATATAGTGATTGTAGGAATGGTTAAGAAAATAGTGTTAGGCCCTGTTTTCTTCACCTTAAAAAAATAATATTAAGTAAAAATAATTTCAGTTCAGTAAAAATAAGTTCAGTTCAGTAAAATTAATTTCAGTTCAGTAAAAATAATTTCTGGAGAGAGGAAAGGTCATAAGCGAAAGTGGTTCCAAAATATTTGATTGGGATGGACCAAAAATGGAAATATACAATAAAACTGGGACAGACATACTTGCTAGCTAGTACATGAATAAGATGCTCCATTTATTCCGTGATAAACTGAATAATATGCGAGTTTTAAATTCCGACATTTTTTGCCTGTGCCTAAAGGCAGTGGATATTCACTTATTCTGTTGTTTGGGGGCATGAAGGATTTACTGGGTGCAGTACCTTTGTTTCACCAGTAGTTAATCTTTTGGTCTTGTTTCAATGTGATCTGAAGATTGCTCATAGTCACTTTTACATTTATTTGTCAATATTGAATTTTTGCTGGAATATATGTCTGGTATTTAGAGATTTTCACACTTGTTTGTCGATATTGAGTTTTTGCAGGAATATTTGTCTCGGCATTTTGAGCTTGATCGGCTTCTACTTGAATATGTACATAGCAAATAGGCATATGGTCAAGACTCAAGAGTTGTATCTCATGTTGTAATTCTTATAGTTCTCCAGCACACGAGATGTATTTGTAGGCCTTTTTTTTTTTTTTTTTTTTTTTTTTTTTTGAGGGCAAGATGTATTTGTAGCTTAAGCTTCATTTGTTTGATTCATTGCTGGAAGTTTTCTACCCAAAATTTTGTCTTTGTTGCAATCATATACGTATATATGTATAAAATCCAAAGCTTTTGTATCGAGTTATTACTAATTAGTTAGGGTCAGAAAATGAGAACGACTATAGATCAATGTATTCTGTTTTATCCCCCGGTAGATTAGATTTGATCTGAGAACAACGGAACTCCTTAAACAGAGCTCTTTGTTTGTGAAGTCAAATATGAATGTTAGGCTAAGAATTAAGTGAAAGTTTAACTTGTGCCATGCAACCAGAATTACTAAAACAGTGCTTACATTGGCTCGTGAAAGAAAAAATTGGCACAACCGCGCAAGACAGCACTTGTTCGCCATGCCAATCATACTGATAATGAATCTTTGTCGTACAAGTTTTATTGATAAAACAAAATTTATTAAAATTAAGTACCTAATTGTCCTCACTTGAAAATTTGAATAAACTGCTGTAAAACCCAATTAGGTCATGATGATACAATTCTAACTCAACTTAGCTTAACTGACCAGAACAAATCAACTTGTATCAGAAGTTACAACACAAATTTTAAAATTTCTTACATGCCTTTTTCAAGCATCGCCCTCACTCTTATGGGTAAACCATAGAGTCTGATAAAACCACCAGCATCGGCCTGATCATAAATCTGCCCGTTCTCAAATGATGAGATATCTTCTCTGTACAAGCTATACGGACTTTTTCTACTGGTTACCGTGACAGACCCCTTGTACAGCTTGAGCGTTACTGAGCCAGTAGTTGTTCGTGTAATTTGCTCCATGAAAGCATCCATGGACTCACGAAGAGGGTCAAACCATCGACCTGCATAAACAAGCTCTGCATACTTAAGGGCAAGAGAGTCTTTTACTTGTATTGTTTCCCGATCAAGGGTCAAAGCCTCAAGTTCCCTAACAGCATTAAAAAGGATGGTTCCACCAGGAGTTTCATACACCCCACGACTCTTCATACCCACCAATCTGTTTTCAACCATGTCAATACGTCCAATTCCATGTCTTCCTCCAATCTCATTGAGCTCAGATAATAGGGTTGCTGGGGAGAGTTCCTTTCCATTAAGTGATATGGGGGAACCAGAGACAATGCCAATTTCTATGTATCTGCACATTCATTTAATAGCAATGAGGACAAAGTTGTAGAAAAGGAATTCTTAATGACTAAATCAAAAAGATATATTAACAAAATGCGTACTCGGGTGTGTTTGGCGCATCTTCTGGATCAACACTCATCATGTACATATCCTTCTTCGGCTCATTCGCTGGATCTTCCAGGATATCACCCTTCAACATCATAAGGAAAAGTCAGATCATTTCTTGAATTCAAATTTCCATCAACAAAAATAGCAATGCAAGAGACAATCATCAAACAGATTTGTTCAGCGTTGGATTCTCTATTTTCTATGGCAAGTATTTCATAAAAATCATACAATTATGAATTACTACTTTGATCAAAATAATTAATGACTGAATAATAAAATTGGAGTCAGCAATATAATTCTCCACCAAGAATCTAGCATAAGATTCTGTAACTAACCTAAAACCTAATGCAAGCATCAACTCTCCCAGCAAAATTTCCCAGCACAACACACATCTAGGAGCTTTTGAGACTGAAAGGAAGTAATATGAGAAATTACCTCATGGCTAAGGTGCCACAAATTCCTGTCTCTGCTATAAATAGATTTTTTTTGTTACAGGAACAGGTACGTTGTGTTTTTTAGCATATTCAATAGCATCTTCTCTTCCTGTGATGTCCCACTCCCTCCATGGTGCAACAACATTGAGAGCAGGATTAAGAGCGAAGAACGTAAGCTCAAAACGAACCTATAATTGAACAGAAATAATGGTTTGTCAGAGAGAGAGAGAGAGAATGAAACACAGTTCTCACTCTACACTGTTTGGAGAGGGTATAACATGCCTGATCATTTCCTTTTCCAGTGCACCCATGACAAACAGCATCAGCTCCAACTTCTTTAGCAATATCCACCATAGCCTACATAATAAGCAGGAAGCGCATTGAGTCTTTACTAATCTGTTGAATCCTTCACGTACATGATTGACAAAATAGATGGTAGTATTTTAGATGGTAGTATTGACTCTCTCTCTCTCTCTCTCTCTCTCTCTCTAGAGAGGGGGGGGGGGGTAACCAGACTAACTAATATGCGCACCTTTGCTATGACAGGGCGCGCCATTGACGTCCCAAGCAAATACTTCCTCTCATAGACAGCACCTGCACGCAAGCAAGGATATATGTAGTCTTTGACAAACTCCTCTTTCAAATCCTTCACCACTAATTGACATGCACCACTCGCCTTAGCCTTCTGTTCCAAGCCATCTAATTCTTGCAGCCCCTGCAAAAAATTTAATTATATATCATGTAAATGTCCAATTTCACTTATATCATTCAAGCACATTGTCATTTGTAATAAAATTAGAAATCTTTTTGATTAATTGCATCAAGTAAACTTGTTAAGAAAAAAATTATAATGGCATTCAAACCATAAAAGAAAATACCCATTTCAGCAAATAGAAGAATAAAATGAAAAGTAACGGTTCAGAAAAGGGATATTCAGGTGAAAAAAAAAGCCATAACCGCATCGAAAAATGATAGCCAGTGTTAGTCAAAGATTGAACCTGGCCGACATCAGCAGTAAAACAAACGACTTCGCAGCCATAATTTTCCCTGGATCAGAGAGCAAGTATTCTCAGTATGCGCATACTTAAACCCAAAATTTCAAATTGAAAACAGAGCAGCTATAGGGTGAGATAAAAGAACAGAGAGGATTATGTTTCTTGATTATTAGCTGTTATCCCCTCAGCTCTCCAAATAAAAATGGGACATGATCATGACCCATAGGCTCCAATATATAATAAATCAGTTCATCTCTATAAACATAATAATAAAATAATGATTTGGTACGACATTATTTTCATTTTCAGAACCTTATGGTGAGATTGGAGCCATTTGAACGAAAGGCCCAAAAGTACACAGATCTACTGGCAATTTTTTCCACTAGCCCTTCAAATTTTATAAGACAAAGGAAAGGAAAGCATAGTAACCCATAATCTACAAAAATGGAGGCATGAAAACAACTTAAGTATACAATGTCCATTAGCAATGCTTAGGGTTTGGTAAAGTTAAGTGATTTAGCCAGCTAATAATCTGCAAGTCAATCTCCATTGCCTTCCACAACTAGGACAATTTGCATTGAATTTTTGGCACTAAAATACTCTCCCTAGGAGCAACAAGTAGCTTAGCTTGTTTAGTGAGTGACGTTCAGCATTCTATTAACTCCTGTTAGTTAGAGTTTGTTATCATTAGATGGATAAATTCGAAAGCAAAATGTATATGGATTTTTTATTTACAGTGAGCTCAGTTGAAATAAATAATTCTATAGTTTCCTCCTCTCTCTCAGCCTAAAAGTCATAATAGTGAAACTCAAAGCCTAAAAAATACATCTATAGACAAAAGAGTTACAAAATACCTCAGCCAAGGAACAATAACTGATGTGTCCAAGCCTCCACTATAAGCTAAAACAACTTTATTCAATTTTCCACGCAGACCTCTACCATTTGTTTCTACCTCTTTTTCACTTGATAAAATTGCTTTGATAGCTGCAACAGACAAATTAGGTCATGGGGATAACAAGGTAAAAGTTATAGCATAGAATCAAATCTAATTAACGCAAACCATTCAATAAAAGACAAGTTCATAAACAAGCAACTTTTCTAGGTTGCTCGGGAGCAGGGTCACACAAGATACAAGTGCAATAATACCCATTCTTTTTAAGAGAAAACCTATACAGAACAATATCTACAAATTTATATTCTCACCCTGTTTCTTCTGAACTTCACTTGTGCACCTGCTATTTTGGATAACTGCATTGCCACAGAACTCGCTCACATTTGCACCAAACTGACAAAAGATAACCAAGAATATCAAATTCAAACATGGTCCCAATGAAAGAACAGAAAAAAGGAAAGGAAAAGATGATGCAGAAACACTATGCTTTGCTTAAGAACACGGCATATAAATAGTTAAATTTCAAGCAATTAAGGCAATCCATGTACCTTGTTAAATATTGACAATCTTCTTGAGCAGCATAGTTTATCTTGAGCCTGGAAGAAACCTACAAAACAGATTATTGATCATAGTAAGTGATAATCGATAAGAAAATCACAATAAATAATGTAATTTGTAACTATAAAGGGACAATGATGTAGCCGAGATTTATAGCACCAACATTCGAAAGACTTTAACCAACTAAGCTAATCGGCATCCACACAAAAACAGGATAACTACAACAATACATTTTGTGCGAGCTATATTTGAGAAATGGCAAATTCAACATAGAGTCTAGTATTTACATCAAAGCAAACATCTCCTATCTACCCCCCCTTATAATTAAGTAATCCAAGTATAGCTAACTATTGCAAATATACAACAAATCCATTAAAGGCAACAATTTTGATGTAATTAAACGCAAACCCATTGTCATTTCATCTTCAAATTTCAATAATTTCCATCCTCCATTACCATTTCCATTTCAATTTCTATGAATAGTATTCATCAAATAACAAATACCCATCATTTTAATTCACTAAAAAATAGATAAAAATCCCATCATTTTAATTCACCAAAAATATAAAAATCCCATCATTTTAATTCATTTAAAAATAAAAAAAAAATAAAAAAAACCCAGAACAGCTAAAGAGTGAAGAAGATAGAAATGGGTACCAGAAGATTTAGGAGAACTGAAAATTGAATTAGAAGGAGCAGCAGCAGTAGCAGAGAAGGCATGCAATTGAGCCATCGTTCTTATCAACTTGGTTCTCTCTTTCCCAGAAAATAGTCGTCTGAATTCTAAAATTAGAGGGGTTTTTAGGGTTTAAGAGGAGTTCCAAATAAGCAGCTCACAAAGATTTATGGGCAAAGCGGGTCATGTTTTCGGGCTCAATGGGACCAAACAAAATATTCTGGTTTTTTTTTTTTTTTTTTTTTGCCCAACCCAAGCACAGAAACAATTAAGTAGAAGAAAGGCCTAAATCGGCCATTACAACCTCATGTATCTCAATGGGATACTCTTCCAACCAAACTCTAAGAGAAACAAACTTACTACTAAGCTTAGCAAGACTATGAGCAACCTGATTTCCTGTTCTCTTCACAAAAGCAAATGAGCATTCATGGCAAGAATTAGCAAGCTTAAGAATATCCTTGGTAATTAAACCAAAGGCAGTAAGATCTTCCTTCTGCTTACTCAAGCCATAATGGAGCTTGATATTGTCCGTCTCGAGGCACACTCTCAAAAAGCCAGACTCCATTGCAATTACTAAAGCATGCCGCATTGCCATTGCCTCCACCACATCCACATCGAAGCTTCCTGCAACCTGCAAACACGTAGCAGCAACAACATCCCCCACACTATCACGCATAACCCCTCCAAGCCCCACCATTCTCGACTTAAAGATAGCCGCATCAGAATTCACTTTTATAACTCCCTCAGGAGGAGATTTCCATTTGCACTCCAGGGGTTCAGAAACAGAGTGGCTGCAACCATGATCATTTGCAGAATCAAACTCACCAACAATGCTAATTGCTTTGTGTAGAACTTCAGTTATCTCTCTCTTCTTCCCTGCGAAAATCCAGTCAGTTCTACGCAGCCACACACCCCACAAAGTGCTCCAGAAGACATTCCACCACGAGTGATCCTTGAAAATCAAGCGCACCCCACCACACCACTCCGCAAAAGTGCTGCCATTATACTTCCCAACTTCCAGACGCAAAGGAGATAGGTACCACAAAAGCTTTGCCTCCTCACAAAACACCAACATATGCTAGATAGTCTCTTGAGCATCCCCACACATAGGACAAACAGAATCAACACTCATACCTCTATGTAGCAGAGAAACACGAGCAGCAAGGGCTCCCCTGATAGCGCGCCAGCAGAAATTTTTAATCTTTGGGGGGAGGTCTGAATTGCAGATGCACTTCCAGTCAAAAGCAATTGGGGGATTGGAATTGGAGGCTTTCGATTGAGCATGCTCCGTACTCAACAAGTTGTAAGCAGACTTCACAGAAAAGCATCCATTTTTTGACCAATGCCAAGACCACGAATCTGAGCTATCAAATAAGGGAATTGGGATGTTGACAATTTCCTTCACTTCAAGAGCTGAAAAGTTAGAGTTCAGAACAGCCACATTCCAGCTTCTGTCAACCATCAGGTCACGGACAGTGGATGGATTATCATCATTTGAGTTCCTTCTGCTCACCACACGAAAATTCGGAAGACTAGGCACCCAAGGATCCTTCCAAACATCAATAGTAGCACCATTTCCCACATTCTTCCTAATACCTTTTAAAAGCACATCCCTTGCACTCATAATCGATCTCCATGTATAGCTCGAATGTGATGCAATTTTCGCATCCATAAAGGAAGAGTTAGGAAAGTACTTGCCTTTGAGGACCTTTGACATTAACGAGTCCTCCTTGGTAAGAATTCGCCAAGCCTGCTTTGCGAGAAGGGCTCTATTAAAAGCTCTCATATTGCGGAACCCAAGGCCACCGTGACTTTTTGGAACATACAACTTATCCCAAGCCACCCAGCTCATCTTCCGTTCTTCCCCTTTTTGACCCCAAAAGAAATTCCGGCACAATCTTTCAACTTCATTGAGTATGCTCACCGGGATGGTGAAACATTGCATAGAATAAGTAGGGATCGCTTGAGCTATTGACTTAATTAAAACTTCCCTCCCGGCTTGAGATAAAAAAAATTCTTTCCAACCCTTCAATTTTTTCCAGATACGATCCTGAATGTTTTGAAAAACCTGTTTTTTAGAGCTACCAATATATGTTGGGAGCCCTAAATATTTATCATGACCCTCGACTGCCTTAAAAGATAACTTCATCTGAAGAATATTTTTCCGTTCTTGCTCAATGTTTCGGCTAAAGGACACCTCAGATTTATCCATATTCAGTTTCTGACCAGAAGCAACTTCGTAGGTTGAAAGAATTCCAAGCACATTTTCCACCTCTTCTTCATTTGCCCGCACAAACAAAAGACTATCATCTGCAAAAAATAAATGAGAAATCGGATTGACATTCCGACCAATTTTAACCCCATGGATAAGTCTCCTATTTTCAGCATCCCTAATCAGAGCAGATAAACCTTCCGCACACATAATAAAAAGGAAAGGTGATAGTGGATCACCTTGCCGTAGCCCCCGGCTAGGCTTAAAGGATTTCGAAGGTTGACCGTTCACAAGGACATCAAAAGAAGCAGTCGTAACACAATTCATAACCAAGACCACATAGTTAATCGGTAAGCCCAATTTCAGCATTATTTTCTCCAAAAAAACTCCATTCCACCCGATCGTAGGCTTTGCTCATATCAAGTTTCAAGCCCAAGTACCCTTTTTTCCCTTTTTTCTTCTTCCGGAGGTAATGAAAAAACTCATAAGCAACCAACACATTATCTGTGATTAATCGACCCGGAACAAATCCACTCTGTGACTCATGAATAATTGAGGGGAGAACCAATTTCAACCTATTTGCAAGCACCTTAGTGACAACTTTGTATAATACATTACACAAACTGATAGGCCTATAATCAACAGGAGACACACATAATTTCTTTTTCGGGATAAGCACAATGTGAGTCTGATTAATCGAACCTATGGTACCACCATTATTAAGAATATCAAGTACTTTCCCAACAACATCAACACCAACTATCTCCCAAAATTTCTGGAAAAAGATAGCTGACATACCATCGGGACCAGGCGCTTTGGTGGGGTGCATCTGGAAGAGAGCAACACGGACCTCATCGGCGGTGAACGGGGCAGCAAGAGTAGTACGATGTCTATCTGTCACCTTTTCCTCTACTTTGGCAATGACCGGTTCTACTTCAATGTGGCTATTCGAGGCAAAAAGATCAGTGAAGTAATCCACAAAAACAGCCGAAATTTGCTCTTCATCTTTATAAACATTACCGGCCTCATCGGAAATTGCATTTATATTATTTCTCTCCGCTCTTTGCTTAGCCTTAGTGTGGAAAAAAGTTGTGTTTTTGTCCCCATTTTTTAACCACTCTTGACGGCTCCTCTGCTTCCAATACAACTCCTCACGGCGTTCCAATTCATCCATACGATCATCCAACGCTCTCATTTGGGCTATAACCTCATCAGATTGAACCTCACTCATAAGATTCTCCATCCTTGCTTGACAGTCTTTTAATTCCTTCACAAAATCCCCAAATTTCTCCCTACTCCAAGCACTCAAATTTTCCGAGGTAAAAGCAATTTTTGAGCATATATCACCACCCCTTTCCCACGCATGACTAACAATCTCGGCACAATTCTCATCCCGAAGCCACATCTCCTCAAACCGGTAAAGCTGAACCTTCTTCTTCTTCTTCTTCTTTGGAGTACTAAGGGCTTCCTTCACACAAAGTAAAATGGGAAGATGGTCAGAGCGCCTCTTGGAAAGATGAGTAACAAAAGAGCCCGGGAAATTATTCTTCCAAGCTTGGTTAGCAAAAAACCGGTCCAATCTCTCTTGTACATTCTCACTGCCTCCTCTATTGTTGGTCCATGTAAAATCATGTCCCATGTACCCCATATCCTCCAACTGGCAGAACTGAATAGCATCTCTCAAAATTTCAGCTTCATCATTATTAAAGGCACGACCACCTTGCTTCTCACTTGAAAGTAACATGAGATTGAAGTCCCCACCGCAACACCACGGATCATCAGTGAAGTCCATCAAGTTCTTCAGCAGCATACCCGTCTTATATTTATTTTCGTCCTCGGGGTGACCATAAATACCTGTGAATCTCCATCCTTCATAAGTGTGAGAGTTAACCCAAGCATCAATGTGGTTTTGTGAGAAGGAAAGGATGGCAACATCTAAAGTATTTTTCCACAAAAGAGCAAGGCCTCCACTTCTTTTCCTCCCTTCACCAACACACTCCACGGTAAGAGCAGCATTAAATTTCAGCTTGTTCTTTACTTTTTCTACTTCATGCTTCTTCAATCTAGTCTCCGAAAGAAAAAGCAGTTGGGGGCTCTCAAGAAACACAACTCGTTTCAAGGCATTGACTGTAGAGGTGCTCCCCAGGCCCCTACAGTTCCATGATAAAATGTAACTCATTTGTCACCGGGAGCCCATTGTGTGGGGCTCGCCACATGGTCAGAATTGGAGACGTGGGTTCTCTTTTTGCTTCTATCATTAATGTCAGCATCCATCAAGTCATCCGTGCTCAATTCCTCACTCCTCTCCCTTCTTTTTTCTCCTGCAATTTTCAAGTCAGTAGACATACTATGATCACCATCTCTTGGGTTTCGTTTCCATCCCTTCCCTTGAGATTTCTTTGTACTATTATTCGAGCCCTTAGCTGTGATAGTTGACAACAGAATTTCATCCTTTTTACCACTAGTAAATGTGAAAAATTCATCAGATTTTTGTTGCACAATTTTATTATCATGTTTTCCACTGTTTAAGCCAACACCTTCAAGCCTGCTAACAACTTCATGAACATGAGTGCGTGTAGTATTTTTATCGACAGGTTGCTTAGGTTTGGTAATGAACAATGGTCTAGCACAACTAACACCCTCCTGCCCACCATCACTCTTCTTATAAGCATCATTATACTTCCATGGGGAGGCTTTCAACCAAGACCCATAAGAGACCTCAGGTTCATCTATCTCCCTACACTCCTCACAGTCCTTCACACCATGACCCATTCTACCACAATAAAAGCAGAAAATAGGGGGTTTTTCATACCTCACATCGAAGCTTTCCTCAAGACCTCCTCGCATCTTCAATCTGACAGACTTGACTAAGGGCTTGCGAACATCAATAAGGACACGAATTCGAATTGACTTATCAATTCCCACTTGAGCAGCATTGTCCATCTTCACAAAGGTTCCCAATTTATTTCCGATCTTCTCCACATTGCTTAGGTTTAACCTCCCTTTTAATGGGAGGTTATAAACCCTTACCCACATAGGAAGAGCGTGCAAGGGTATATCAGAGGGCTTAGTCGAATCATTTGTCTCGCCAAAAACCAGGGCATGTCTATCAAAGTGCCAAGGTTGATCTTCCAACACCTTATACTTATCCCTCCAATGGTGAAATTGGAACATGAACATGTTTTTGCCAATGTTCGATATCTCGACTCCATGCTTAGGTTGCCAAACATCTTTCATTGTTGTTATGAATGCGTTAACATTAACGTTGCGGTTTGTCCAGATTTTCCCTACCAACGCAAGTTCAATCCGGGCATCCTCATCCTCTTCTCCATTATCATCCCACTCAATTGCCTCTTCAGTATCTCCCTCCTTCGATAAAGCAGCAATAGCTTCATCATCATTATTCGAACCAATTAACGAAAGGTTTATTTCTTGATTTTCCATAATCAATGATTAGCACAACGAAAGGCACAAAAACCTGAGATTAAAACTCGAAAATTCGAGAAAAATCCTCAAGAAAAGGAAACCCTAGTAGAAACTAGAACGAAACCCTCCCAAGGAAAACCTAGTGGGAACTAAGGTTGTTTTAGATATTCCTTAAAGTATCATTTCATTTGTTTTTTTTAGAAGTTTTTAGAATCTTACTTAGAAAATTATCTCGAAGTACGGACGGTTCATTTGGTAATCCGTTATAAACAATAGTAATGGTTTAATGGGAATGATTTTTTTACATGAATTTTAGAGAACAGATCACCGGCTAAGGTTGTATTTCCGCCATGCTCGTTTTATTAGTTAAGGTATAACACTATTATCATTCGCTATCTATGATGATATTGTGGTTGATAGTGATTAGTTCGATGTTT